ATGGGTCGCGCACAGCTGGGCGGTTTGGTTGCGTTGACAGCGCGTCGGCGCCTGCCAATTTTTATCGACACGGTGTCGTGTCCCGGACTTTGCGATGGGGGGTCTTGCTCCGGCGACGGCGTCCGATGGCCGACGCGTCGGACGCCCGAACGTGCGGTTTTTGGCTAGCGGCCAGGGACGCCCGGTGGCTATACGTGACAAAAACAAGCGCTCGGATTGGGACGAATGGCTAGCCGTTTCGCTGGCTTGAGTACCAAACACGTACGCGCGGGCCGGGAGCGGAGACCTCTGAGCCCAAGCTTCCGACGCACGGCAGCCCGCTCTGGTGGTCGGAGTGGCCTTCCATGACCCCTAGGCGTAAGCCTGACCGTCGGTGCCCCCATCGGAGGTGGTTCTGGCGTCGACCAAATTCCACCGCGCGGGCCTCGTCTCCGCGGGGCTGCCGCGGCGTACAAGTCCGTGCCAGCGAAGCGCGTCACCATCGATGGCGTTGGATACGCCCCTTGGTTTTGGGTGCGACGTCGGTGTGACGGCTGGGGTAGGCCATTTACGTTGCGTAAGATGTACCACCCCGCTCCGCACGCAGGGGTGCCGCCGACGCCAGTGGCGGAGCAACACCCCCCCTCTTTGCGGCGTCCTTGGAGGTCCGCTGTGGCAAATTGTACGCCAGGGGTCGACAGGGGTCCTGGCGGCACCGAACTGTGCGAGGATGGCGTCGCGAAGAGCAGCGAGGACAGCCGAGCCACCATCCTCGTCGATCACGCGCGGTGCGAGCGTCGGCGCGAGCGCAGCGATCCGTGGCGGCGCGGCGGCGATGGAGGCTCATGTGTGTAGATCACGGCCTCCGCCAATCAGCGCGCGCCAAACAACGCTGTGACGCGCCACATTCGCCCGCGCGGTTTGCCGTCAAGAGTAATCCGCTTCGTCAGGATGCGCTTCGGGACGGGCATGACCATGGTCTTGGCGTCGACGACGTCCCTCGCGCCGCCGCGGCTCACGTCGAACGACGCGGACCGGTGGCGCGCCCTCGCGGCCGTGGCGTCGCCCGACAACCGGAAGATCTCCATCGACCTCGCGGCCTGCGACGCGGCGCTCGTCAGCGCCGCGCGCGAGTCCGAGGCGCGCTACGGCGTCGACAGCCAGGAGGCGAAGATCTCGTACGCGCTCCTCGAAGAATGTCGCCAGCGCGACGCGCGGCACACGCCGGACGCGCGGGAGGCCTACCCCGTTTCGGAGCGCGAGGCGGACCTCGAGCTCCTGGCGCGCATGAGCTCGAGCCGCGAGTACGTGGCCTGGCTGCGCACCTACCGGTCCGCGCGGCGCCGCGCGTCCGCGGCCAACGTCATCGACGACGGCGTGTCGCCGATCCCGCTCGCGAACCTCGCGGCGCCGTGGGCGTCGCGCGCCGCGCACCCCGACGCCGCCGCGCGCGACGCCGCCGTCGCCGAGGCCCAGGCCTCCGGCGCGCCCTGGGCCTGGGACATCGCCGAGGAGGTGCTCGCGTCCGACAACTCGATCGCGTCCGCGCCGTCGCTCGAGGACGACGACGGCCAGCCCGAGGACATCGCCCTCTCCGTCGAGCTCGCCCTCGAGTACATCGAGCAGCTGAGCTGGCGCGCCGAGGAGACCGGCGCCTTCGGCCACCTCCGCGCGGCCGTGTGATCGCGCGCCAGAAAGCCCCCCCCTGTTGTGTTGTTGCGCCCCCCCAGCCGCCCGTAAGGTGCGAGCGCTCGAGGTTACTCGCGACGACAGCGAAGCGGCGGGGGAGAGGGGGGGGGGGGGGAATGCTTTCGCGGTGCTCATGCGGTGGGGCCGTCGTCGAGCTTCGCGTGGCGGCGCTTCGCGTGGTCCTCGAGGATGCCGAGGTAGTTGGAGGGCCGCTGGTTCGGGTTCGCGTCCGCGTAGAGGGGGAAGACCCGGAGGTAGTTGAGGAAGGCGTCGCCCTTGGAGGTGTAGTTGATGAGCGTCATGTCCGCGGCGCGGCCCGCGGCGACGGCGGCGTGGACGGACTCGACGGCGCGCCTGTCGGTGAGCTCGCCCTGGATGCAGGACATGGTGCGCCCGAGGACCTCGTCCTTGCCGAAGCCGCAGAGGTCGAGCCAGGCCTGGTTGACGTTGGCGATGACGAAGGGCCGGCGCGCCGTCGTGACGACCTTGGCGCGGGGGTCGTCGTGGAACGTCGCGTCGTAGAGGCTGTTGGGCGCGTAGGGGAGGGGCGCGGACGCCGCGGCCTCGACGGTGCGCGCGAAGGACTGCATGTCGTAGGCGAGCTCGAGGCGCAGGAGCTTGATGGGGTTCTCGGCCGTGGCGTCGCCGCCGCCGACGAACCGCGCGCAGTACATGCCGCGGAGCGCGACCTCGCAGCGCGCGCCGTGGCGCTGGGCGTCCAAAGTCCGCAGCGCCCAGAAGCCCATGATCGTGTCGCGGGCGTAGGCCACGCGGCGCTCGCGCGCGTCCTCGTCGTCCGTCGACACCTCGTCGTCGCGGACGCGCGGGCTGCTCGCCGGCGGCGGCGGCCGCCGCGGCGGCGCCCCGCCGGCGCCGAACATCCCAAAGGTCGACGGGTCGACCTTGTCGTCGGCGTGGATGTGGCGGCACTCGTAGGCCGGCGGCTCCGCCATGCGCGACGAGAACGCGCCGGACCGGCCGACGCCGTGCATGAAGACGGCCCAGGCCGCGACGTCGTCGGCCATGCCCGCGACGCCGCGGCTCACGCGGCGCTCGCGGACGACGTCCGAGGGCCGGTGGGCCACGTAGTCGCTCTGGGGCTGCCAGAGCTCGAAGCCCGGCGCGAGCCACGACGCCCAGACCTCGGGGTCGACGACGGCCTCGCCCCGCGCGCGGAAGACCTCGGCGAGGAGGCGCTCGTGGCGCTCGGACTTGCGCTCCTTGACGGCGCGCCGCTCCTCCGTGCGCCGCGTCTCGACCTCCCAGGCCTCGACGTCGTGCTTGAGCTTCTCGATGGCCTCCTTCTTCCGCGCGCGCGTGTTCCGCGCGTGCTCGCGGTTCCGCTCGCGCTCGAGGGCCGTGCGCTCGTCGGCGCTGAGCTGGACGCCCGGGGGCGCCAGGGGCCGCGCGCGGCGCCGCGAGCTCGGCTTCTTCTGCGGCTGCGCCGCGGGCTCCGAGGGCCGCGGCGCGCCCGACCCGGACGCGTCGCTCGCCTCCTCGGCCGTCGCGGGCAGGCTCGTCGCCTGGCGGTCCGCGTCGTACCAGGGCGCGGCGCCCTCGGCCGGCGGCGGCGCGGCGTAGCCGCCTGTTAGCGGGCTCCACTCCGAACCGAAGCCCGCGGGCTCGGGCGCGGGCCGGAGCGGCGGCGGCGGCGCGTGGAGCGCGTAGGCGTCGTAGCCCGTCGCGAAGGCCGGCAGGGGCGCGATGAGGTCGTCGCGGCGCGGCGGGCCCCGGGGCTCGGGCGGCGCGCGGCGCCGGGGCGCGTCGTCGCGGCGGTGCCGCGGCGGCGCGGAGCCGGACCGGCCGCGGCGCGGGTCCGCGGCGTGGGCCTTGAAGCGGGACGCGGCGTGGCGGCCGCCGGACCCGGAGGACTTGTCGCTGTCGTCGGACTTGGACGACGACCGGCGCCGCGTCCTGTCCTCGCGGAGGCCCTCGCACATGAAGTCCATGTCGTCGGTCCACGCGGACGGCACGAAGCCCGTGAGCCCCAAATCCCCGGGCATGCCCATGCCGCCGAGGTCCGTGAGGCCCTCGAGGCCCCCGTAGGAGCCGCCGCTCGACGCCGAGTTCGGGCTCCGCTCGCCCGCGCGCTCCGGCGGGCTCCGGCCGCGCGGCGGGACCGCCCCGGGCGCCGCCGGCTCGTCCGCGCGCCCGTCCAACATGGGCTCGTCGCCGTCCGCCGGCGGGGGCTGGAGCTGCTGGAGGTCCTTGGGCATTTCGGGTCGTTCGCCCGGCGCTGCGAGGATTCTTTCGAATTCCGAGACGGGGGGGGGTTTGGTCCGCGGAAAAACGCGGCGGATGCGGTGTCCCGCGCCTAGCGGTGCCGGCGGACGCGACGACGCGGCCCCGGCACCGGCGCGTGTGCGCGGGCGGAGGTGGAAACCGGTGAAGGGCGCAGGCGGCAGCCGCTGCCCTCGAATTCTCGACGCCTGCCAGCTGTGGAGAGGCTCGCTCGCCGGGGATACAATCAATTCCGACCTCGCGAGGCGTCTCGCGTCCGCCAGTCATAACTGCAATCGCGACCAAGGTGCTTCCCCCAACATTGAGGGCGGACATAAGATTGGGGGTAAAGTAGGTACGAAAGCGAGCCGGATGAAGTGCCGATCATGATGGCGCATATGCCGTGCGGGCGCCGACGTCGGCGGCGCGCGCGAGCCTCGCACGCTCCGAGGCGTGCGCTTGAACGCGCGCGCCCAGCAGCTGGTCGCCCCGGCGGGGCGGCCGCCCGAGTCCTCCCCCGAGCTCGGGCGCGGAGGTCGTTACGCGACGGGCGCGGTCGGAGGTCACGAAGGGGGGAGAGAACGAAGGGGAGGGGGGCGCTTTCACGCGGCGGCGGCCGCGGGCGGCTGGAGGACGACGCCCGCGCCGCCGAGGGCGAGGCCCGGCGGCGGGTCCTCCTGGTCGAGCTTGGCGACGAAGTAGCGGGGCTCGCGCGCGGCGTCGAGGACGGGACGGATGGTCACGCGGTTCCGGAAGGGCTCGCCGGACTGCTTGTAGTTGACCTGGGTCATGGCGCAGGTGTGGGGCGGCGCGAGGAGCTCGGCCATCTTGCGCCGGCAGAGCTCGAAGTCCGTCTCCGGGCCCTGGATGAGCTGATTGGACTTGCCGACGCACTCGGCCTTGTCGAACTCGCAGAGCCGCGCCCAGGCGTCGTTGACGTAGACGATTTTGAAGGGGTGGCGCGCCTCCGTCACCACAACGGCGGCCGCGTCGTCGTCGAGCGCCTCGCGGACGAACGCTTCCGCGAGCGCCTCGTCGGGCTCCGCCGTCTTCCGCCGCTTCGCCGCGTCCGCGGCCGTCTCCAGGGGCCGGAAGGCCGCGGTCTCCGGCATGGCGGGGTCGTCGGGCCCGCGCTCGACGCGGCCCACGAGCAGCGCCGCGTCGTCGCACGGCGTCACCGTCAAATGCACGCGGAACGCCTCGCCGTCGTTCGTGTAGTTCCGGAGCGACGCCGTGACCTCGCCCGGGGCCGACGCGTCGCGGAGCCGGGCCAGGGCCTCGTGGAGGCGCCGCTTCGCGTCGGCCGACGTGTCCGCGCCCTGGAGGAAGTTGAGGTTCATGCCCCGTTTGCTCTTGCACCTGGGCAGCAAAAGGGTGCGAAATTCCCAACTTCAAAGGCTCCTATCTCGGTCGTTTTCCGCTCGTTTCGGCTGATTTTTGGACGAGCGATCATCTCTCGGAGCGCTCTCGAAGCGTGGGTGCTGTTTCCGAAACGCGCGCGCGCGGAACACTCACGTTGAAGCGACGTTGAATCACCCTTTTGCTGCCCTGACTTGCACGGCCAGCCCGTGACCTCCCAGAACCGGTCGTTGGCAAAGTTCGCGAGGAACGGGCCCCGGCGCCGCGTGAGCACGAGGGCCTCGGCGCGCCGCGCGTCCAGCGCGTCGCCGAGGTTGTAGCGGCCCGCCGCGGCGGCCGCGGGCGCCGCGTTCCGCGCCTCGCGCGTCGGCCGGACGACGGACCAGACGTCCTCGAGGACCCGCTGCGTGTGGTACTCGAAGCGCAGGGGGTTCGGCTCGCCTTCAAACCCGCAGGCGCGGGCGCAGTGGGACCCGCAGAAGGCCTCGAAGTCGAGCGTCGTCGCGACCGTGGACGTCGCGGACGCCCGGAGCCGCCGGACCGCGGCCGGGTCCGCGCGCGCGGCGGAAGCTTCCACGAGCGCGAGCTCGTAGGCCCGCTCGAGGACGGGCGTCGACGAGCCCTGGAGCCGCTCCATGGCCGCCACGTCCGCGAGGCTCCGGCCCTCGCCGACGACGCCCTGGAGCGCCGCCAGCTGGCTCTGCGACGACGCCGCGCTCGCCTCGTGCGCGCCGGGCCCGCGGACGACGACGACGGACCAGCTCATCTTCATGGACGGGTGGTAGGTCCAGGCGAGGCGCTCGAGGTGGCTCGCCGCGTGCGCGAGGGAGACGCCCACGGCGTCCGGGCCCAGGACGTAGAGCGCGCGCGTTCGCTGCGACGTCATGGCTTGTTTTTGTTCGGAACGGCGATGCAACGCGGATGAGACGGCTTTTGGTGCTTGCGGGATTGGTGATCGGCGCTGTCGCGGCGCGCGAAGGGGGCAGCTGATCGACGCACTGCTCGGTTTGACTTCAGGCGTCTCGGTGCGAAGGAGTTGCGGCACGCTTGAGGTAGAAGCTGCGGTTCAAGATGCGGTTCAATCATGCAGGGCCGCCTCCATCTGCAGCCTCTGCAAGCTTTTGTTCTGTGATGCCGCCCCGGCTCGACGAGGACTGCGTGCTTTGTTCTCTGTGATGCCGCCCCGGCTCGACGAGGATGACGACGACGACGCCGAGGACTGGGTGCGTTTCCAATCGCAGAGCAAAGCAGAACAAAGTAAAATAGGTCGAGCTGGTCGTCGACATCGTCTACGAGCTCGAGGACTTGCTGGAGGACGACGACGGCTACGGCGGCGACCGCGACGAGGGCGAGTCCAAGTCCTCGAGGTCCTTCCGCGAGGACGCGGCGCGGCTCGAGCGGCGCGCCGCCGCCGCGTTCGCCGCCGGCGACGACTCGGAGTTCTCGCACGAGCACGCGGCGCTGCACGACGAGTTCCGCGAGCTCGTCGAGGCGCGCGTCGAGGCGACGCTCGGGGAGCGGCGGTTCACGCCGTCGCAGTTCGTGGCGCGCCTGAAGGCCGTCGAGGACCGGCGTCGAGCGCCGTTTTTTCGCGCACGTCGCGCCTCGGTAGGTCGAGGACCGGCCGGACTGGGCGTGGGCGCGCGAGACGACGGCGCGCGTCGCGGCCCTGCTCCGCGAGGCCGACGACTTCCGCGCCTGGGCGCGCGCCATGCGGCGGAAGAGCGCTGGGCATCACAAGTAACGCTACAACAGCGTCTTAACGTCGCAGGGCGTCGGGTCCTGGTACGAGGGCCCCTCGGCCTTGCGCAGGAGCGCCTCCGCCGCGTCGAGGTAGCGCTCCCGGTCGTCGCCGGCCTTCCGCCCGAGGGCCTCCGCCGCGTCGAGGTCGTCGGCCGCGTTCTCGTTGATGTAGTTCGTCGCGAGCTTGTTCATGAAGAACGCGCCGAGGACGAGCGACGACGCGCAGATCGCCAGGAGCGACGCGTCGCCGAGCGCGTTCGCGATGTAGGTGAAGGTCAGGTTCCCCACGAGCCCCCCGAGCTTGCCCGCGGCGTTCGCCGCGCCGGAGCAGGACGCGCGGATCTCCGTCGGGAACAGGAGCGACGGCAGCGCGAACGCCGCCGACGACGGCAGGTTCACCGCGAAGCGCGCCGCGAAACATAAAACCAGCAGCAGCGTCGTCGACGACGAGAACCCCAGGCCCAGCGCGAAGGCCCAGGTCACGAGCGCCGAGAAGACCAGGGTCCGCTCCAGCACGGCCGCGGCGCCGAGCGAGTCGATGGGGCCGAGCGACGAGTAGGCCGCGAAGATGCCGACGGCGCTCAGCGCCGCCAGAACCCCCAGAATCTCCCGGTTCGTCGGAGAAACGATGGCCGCCTCCACGAGGTCCGGCAGGAGCAACAACAGGCCGTAGCACACCAGCTGGTAGCAGAAGACGACCAAAACGACGTCGAAGAGCTTCGCCGGCCCCGTCGGGTCCCTCGCGGCCAGCGCCTTGCGGAAGTCGGCCCAGCCGGCGCCGAGGCGCCGGTCGCCGAGCCGCGCGAAGGCGCGGCTCTCCTCGGCGTCGCGCGTCAGGAACGCCGACAACAGGAACGGCAGCGCGCCGAGGCCGAGCATCGACCGCCACATCGCTTTCTTCGACATCCACCCGCCGCAGGACATCAACAAAATAGCAACGAGGTAGCTCCCCGCCTGGCCCGCGAGGTTCCAGATGTCCATGGAGCCCGTCGCGCTCGCCGGGCCGCCGGACGTCCGCGGGTCGTGGACGAGCGGCCCGCCCGCCGCTCGCTCGACCTCGCGGAGCCGCTCGTACGTGTAGCTCGCCGCGATGGGCGCCGCGCCGCCCGCGCCGATGCCCAGCAGGAACCGGAAGCACGCGATCTCCACGTAGCGGCCGTGCCGCGGCCCCGCCAGGGCGCTCGCGACCGCGCCGACCGTCGCCAAGAGGCACGAGACGCGCTGCGCCGCGAGGCGCCCCTTCAAGTCCGCGTAGCGGCCCATGGACAGCGTGCCCACGACGAAGCCCAGGAAGATGGCCGCGTCGAGCACGGACGACGTCCACGTGTAGAGCTCGCCCTCGCTCGTCCAGATGAGCTCCGCGCCGGAGATGGCGACGACGTTGTAGCCGGAGCCGATCTGCATCAGCGCCATGGCGCTCAATAATTGCGCGCTGTACGGGTCCCGCAGCGCGCCGCACTGCGGCACGCACATCGGCGCCATTGTGATGCGCACGCGTCGACGCGACGACGGCAGCGTCACGCCTGCGCAGCCCAACTCGATGAGCTCAGATTTGCGGCAAATTTGGCTCGTTGACGACGTAGTTACAGCGCGCCGGAGCGCCGACCACGGCACTTCGAAGAGGGACGGACCGGAGAGGACACACCCGCGCCACTACGAAAGAACAGACCTCTTTAGCCGCCCGCGCCGCGCGGCCTAGCAGTCGCCGAACTCGAGGCAGATGGGGAGCTCGACGGCCTTCTGGAAGCCCGACTTGACGAGGTCGACGCCCTTGTCGAGGTTGGGGATCACGACGTCGTTGATCACGGGCACCTGCGTGCCCAGCGTCCGCAGCAGGGGCAGAAACGTGAAGCCGACGGCGAGCGGCAGCGCGAGCGACGTGAACGTGTTGACGTAGTCGACCCAGGTCATCTTGTTCGCCTCCTCGGCGGCGCTCGTGAGGATGGGCCGCCACTTCTCCATGATGGTCTCGTCGGACATGAAGGCCTGGATGTCGCGGCGCGCCTCGTCGGGGCTCACCTCGACGTTGTTCGCGGCGCGGAACTTGCGGTAGGCGTCGACGAACTCGTCGGTGGAGCCCGGGTACTCGGCGACCTCGAAGGGCGCGCCGAGCACGATCATCTCCTCCGCGGGCGCCTCCGCCGTCTCCTCCTCCGTGGCGAGCGTCGCGTAGGTGCGCCAGCCGCTGGGCCGCGAAAGACGCGTCGCCGGCGACCGCAGGCCGCCGCGGCGCGGGGCGAGGCCGGCGACGCGCGCCGGCGCGTAGCCGGCGGCGGCGCCGAGGGCCGCCAGCAGGAGCAGTGGTCTGCGCGCGGGCTGCATCGTCGAGAAGGGCGAGGCTGCGATCGGCAAGCAAGCACCCTGCTTCAAGGTCGAAGTCGTTCGGAGAAGGCGTCTCCTCGCGATGTCGACGCGGTCGACGGTCGACGCGTGCGCACGCGAGAGCCCGTGCGGAGCGCGCGCACACCCCTGTCCCGCGCCGAGACCCAGCGCTCTGGAACCGCGAGAGTGAGAGCGTCAGATCCGATGCTCCCCTCGGACCTTGTCAGTGAGCAGCCGGGCTCTACGACGCCGGGCCGCCCGCGATGATAGGGGGGAGAGCGCTTACAACCCGCGACGCTACGCGCCGCGGCGAGATTCCCCCGATTTTCCCCGGGCGCTCAGCGGCGCCGCTTCTTCTCCGCCTCCTTCCGCGCCTTCTCCTTCTTCGCGGCCTCCTGCTTGCGCTTCTTCTCCTTCTTCGCGAACTCCTCCGCGCGCTTCTTCTCCTTCTTCGCGAACTCCGCGGCCTTCTTCTGGTCCTGCTCCTTGCGCTTCCGCGCCGCCTTGTCGTCGGCGACCTTCTTCTTCGCGGCCTTCTTCGCCGCCTCGTTCCGCGCCTTCTTGTCGGCCTCGGCCTGCTTCTTCGCGACCTCCGCGGCGCGCTTCTTCGCCTTGCCCAGGGACTTGTCGGCCGCCGCCAGGGCCTTCTTCGTCTTCTCGACCTTCTTCGTCGCCGCGTCGACGTTCTTGACGGCCTTGGCGTAGATGGCCTTCTCCTTGCCCGACGCGAACTTGGAGCGGCCCCGCTCCGCGTCCTTGACGGCCTTCGTCGCGTCGCCGCGCTGCTGCTGCGCCGCGGCGACGGCGGCGGACGCGGCGTCGCGGGCGACCTGCTCCTTGAGCTTCGGCGCCGCGGGCGCGGCCTTGGGCGCGGGCGCGGCCTTGGTGGCCTTGGGCGCGGGCGCGGCGGCGGGCTTGGCGGCGGCGGGCTTGGCCGGCGCGGGCGCGGGCGCGGCCTTGGGCGCGGGCGCGGCCTTGGGCGCGGGCGCGGGCGCGGCCTTGGCCGCGGGCGCGGGCTTGGCCGCCGGCGCCTTGGCGGCGGCGGGCGCGGGCGGCGCCTTGGTGGCGGGCTTGGCCGCGGCGGCGGCGGCCTTGGCGGCCGCGAGCGCGGCGGCCTTCTCGGCGTTCGCCGCTGCGGCGGCGGCGGCCCGCTCGGCCTTGGCGGCCTTGGCGGCCTCGGCGGCCTCGGCCTGCGCGACCTTCGAGGCCGCGAGCTTCTCCTTCTTCGCCGCGACGTCCTTGGCCATCTCCGCGCGCTTCGCGTCGGCCCTCGCGGCGGCCTCGGCCGCCGCCTGCTCCTTCTCGATGGCCTTGTCGGACTTGGGCTTCGGCGCCGGCTTCGCCTTTGGCGCCTTGGCCGCCGGCGCCGCATCCGTGGAGAGCAGGTCCGCGGCGCGGGGCACGAGCGCCTCGCCGCCGAGCTGCTTCGCCGCCGGCGCGGGCGCGGGCGCGGGCGCCGCGGGCGCCGCGGGCGCCTTGGCCGCGGGCGCCCTGGCGGCCGGCGCGGGCTTGGCGGCGACCGCGGGCGCGGCGGCCGGCCCGGACGCGGCGTCGGCCTTGGCCGCGGCCGCGGCGGCGGCGCTCTTCTCGCGCGCGGCCGCGAGCTGGCGCTGGACCTCGCCGCCTTGGAACGAGCTCTTGGGCTTCGCCGCGGCCGCGGGCGCCGGCGGCGCGTCGGCGACGGCGGTCTCGGCGACGACGGCCACGGGCGCGGCCACGAGGCCCGCGCCGGCGACGCCGGCGAGGAAGTTCGCCACGTGCTTGCGCGCCGCGGGGGCGCTCACCTACGGAGACGGAAATCGGCGATTGCGGCGGCGTTTTCGGCGCGATGGACGCGGTTTTTTTGCATGCGCGGGCTTGGACGGCCGCGGCGCGAGGCCCGCGGCGAGGCCGAGGACCGTTGCGAGCAGTGCGATGCAGCTGAAGCGGCTTGCCATTGCGATATCTCTGCAGCTACAATGTACAAGCTCGCGAGCTTCGGAAGCTCTAGCAGTGGCATGTAGAGGGCGTACCCGGGGGTCACTGGCGCCAAGACTCGCACGCCACAACACGAGCAGGCGGGCCGGCATCTAGCCCGGGCGCGCGCGGGCTCACTCGCCGTCCGTGGACTCGCTTCGCACACCCGCGCGGAAACGCCGCACTCAGGACTGGTCCGGTGTCCCATCCAACGACGCCGGACGCGGCCAGGCACCTTTGTGCCTAGGAACGGTGTCCGACGAGGCTCCAATGCCGTGAGGTTCAGAGACAGGGCAGCCGCACGACGGACACCGAGGACTACGAGTTCGGCGAGGACCCCACCGGCTCGACCGCGGACGGCCCGGTCTTCTTCAAAGACCACTGGGAGTCCGAACGACCCCAGGCGCGGATCCCGATCTCGAGCTCGATCAACATGGCTCGATTGATCGCGTGTATCGCACTGCCGCTGGCCGCGGGCCTCGTGGCGCCCCTGCCGAAGACGACGAGCGTGCGGCGACGGCGCCGCTACAACCGCTGGCGAGAGATCGTCGCGCGTCGCGCGCGAGAGAGCGAACGCGCGCGCGCGCAACACGCGGGACTGGATTTCGCGCCCCGCCCTCGCAGCGCGTCGCGTCCCTGGCCGCGTCCGAGTCCATGCCGTTCCTGGACCAGCCGAAGAACCTCGACGGCAAGATGGCCGGCGACGTGNGCTTCGACCCCCTTGGCCTGTCGGAGATCGACGACCTCGGCATCGACCTCTACTGGCTCCGCGAGGCGGAGATGAAGCACGGCCGCGTGGCCATGCTGGCGGCGACGGGCGTGCTCT